AGCCGAACGATCTGCCACAACGTCGAATTTTCAGTGAATGGGCCCTACCTACTACTTTAAACTACTACTTTATCTACTTTAAAATTTGCTGGTTGCGCCAGCGCTATTATTTCCATCGTACATTCTCGTATGTACATCTTCATATATCTACATCTAAATTTTCAAAACGCTCTGTGTGGTTTTTTATATATATAAATTTTGCCGTTTGCGCCGGCGTTAGAAACTTTGCCGTATTATTCGCGTATTTATGTGCATATGTATGTATGTATGTACATACATACTTACGTATTGGCATAGTTTCTTTGCATTTCTTTGCATATTTCGTTTGCATTTCTTTGCATATTTCTTTGGCTTCGCTGCCTGCTAAATTTCCAGCGGCTATACTTTCCAATCAGAATCGCTAGTGTCAAAAGCGATACACTTAAGGAAAAAAAAGTATACATTTGCGGAACTTTTAAAATTCTTTGCAGGAATTTTCCTATACATATGTACATACATACGTCTTGATATGCATATGAACGTATGTATGTAAAAACCCGGAAAGTTCGTGTAAAAATTTTTACCACTGCGCATACATATTACTTTGCAACTTGCGGGTTGCACCAGCGCATTTCTTTTGCTTAAATATACATAGGGTTGTATATGTATATATTTTCAATACACTCGTGGTTTTAGGTAAATCCATTTGTGCCGTTTGCGCCGGCGTTGGAACATTGCCTTATTATTTGCTTATTTATGTACATATGTATGTATTTACATACATACGTACATACGTATTTGTGTCTCATTGGCAATTCGTTGCTTTCATCAACACAACGAGTTGATATACATAAAATCTAATAAGATTCGCTGTTGACAAAATCGATACACTCAGAAAAAAAAGAGGCTACATTTATAAAAATTTTAAAATCATTTGCATGAATTTGATTTTTTATCTTTTCCATTTATATACGTTGGTGAATAGACATATGCATATATACTAACCCATAATAATATTCAAGCGGTTCATTGCGGGCACATACATACATCGTTATACCTACAACCCTACACCCTATCTATATATATATACATATATATATACCAATATACATATAGGTAGGTACAAGCCCTTTGTACCTCTAATTTGTATACAGCTATACGCTAAAAGTGCATAACTCGAATTCGAATATTTTCTGGTCTCTCGAATACATCGGTTTTGGTAAAGTGTGTTAAAGATTCGTTTGCAATAATTTAACCGAACGTTGTTTCCGTCAACATAGACATTTAAACCATTTAAATTGATTTCGAGGCTTTTTTCGTGATATAAACGCACGGGTACATACGGCTGTGCGGTGGTCCGTGGAAAACCAGTGCGTTACGTGCGTTAACGTAGACAGTTTAAAATACATAGAAGTGAATTTCGAAAATCCATATGTTTGCGTTGCGTTACTTGCGGTTATGCGTGACATCATAGGTAATCAGCCGGAATAATTGTACCATTTAATCAAGTGCGACATTAAATCGAATACTAGCCACGCTTTCACTTTGCCATATTCGAACTAATTAAAAACCAAAACCCAAAATTTTATTGGGAAATCAAATTTAAATCTTTAACCTGGTTCGCAGTTACGCGGTGCGGTTTGCGTCGGTCGCTAATCGATCTCATATCGATCGGCAGTCAAATTAATACGTACCTATTATCATATTTTCCTATATATTATATTTTACTTCACACGTATATATATTATATTTTACTTCACACGTATATATTTGTGGTTATTAGAAAATAAAGGTCGATTTTTACGTTTTTTCCCGTACGACTCGCTGCGTGCGTTAGCTTGGCATACAATTTCTTTATAGAACTAAGCAAATAGTTCAGGTCCCGATACGGATCGAAATAAAAGTCGACATTTATTTTCAATAAAACCAATTTCTCTCCTGAATGGTTTGCGAACTGTAAGCCAAACAGTTATAAACTTCTATCCCGTGTTAACGGTCCAAATACAAAGTCTGAAGAACGATAAATAATTATTTAAAATTATAATTTATAAAAAATTATAAATTTGCACTAATTGGTTTCTCAAACTTATCGGAGGATCTGATTGGTACCTTTTTTCGCTCCCGTCGAAGGTTCGTCAACTTCGATTTATCTCTCTCTAAAGGTCGTTTGGTACATTTACCACTCACCTCAACTGACGTCGAAGGTTCGACTAGTAAGCGACATATCGCATCTGTTGTCCTGATTTGGAGCTCCAGGAGCTTGCGTTGACACATCTTGAACAGTTATCTGAAGTCATGGCGACTGAGTCAGCAGTAATGGCAGATTTTCTTTTTGACTCCAACAACATTATAACCTTCTGTGAGCATTTTGAAAAAGAAGATCCGGAAGACCACACCGACACTTTGCTGGAAATCAAGCTTGAGGATCTCAATGCACGATGGGAAAGGTTACAACTTTCATATCGAAAGGTCTGCCTTACTGACGAAAAATATGTTCCCACCGACTTCAAAGAAGAGGCGGGTAACAAATTCCAATTATGTACTGATGGGTTTTACATCTGCAAATCTCACATTCTGGATCAGCTCAAACTTGTTCAAGGAAGCTCATCCAATCCAGCTAACACTTCCCAGCAAGCCAACCTAACCCGTCATTCCATGTCGTTCGTCGACAACGCTATACCATGTATCAAGGTTCCACCATGTGATACCCAAATTTTCTATGGAAGCTATGAGGACTGGCCCGCCTTTCGTGACATGTTCACGGCGGTGTATCTCAACCATCCCAAGCTAACACAGGCACAAAAACTCTATCACTTGCGAAACAAAACTCGCGGTAAGGCTGGCTCCATAGTAAAGCACTACACCTTGTGCGATGAAAATTTCCCTCTTGCTTGGGAAGCGTTAAGAGCTCGTTTCGAAAACAAACGCATCCTAATCGACAAACAGCTGAAAACGCTCTTCAACTTGCCGTCTGCTAATTCCGAGAATAGCGAAGCGATTCAAAGAATCCAAAATACCATAAACGATTGTCTTTCGTGCCTAAAGTCTCAAGGAGTTTCAGTTTCCGATTGGGACCCAATCCTAATCTATCTATGTTCCACCAAGCTCCCAGATGAGACGCTTTCACTCTGGGAACAATCTCTGAAATCTCGTAAAGAGCTCCCCAACTGGTCCCAAATGGACGAATTTCTAACCAGTCGGTACGAAGTGGTGGAGCGTTTATACGGGTATAAAATTACGAAGGCGCGAAACTCATTCCCCCAAAAAATTCCAGCGAAGATTCAATCATATCATTCGCAAGAACAACTTTCGTTCAAATGTAAGCTGTGCAATAACAGCCACACCCTTAAGTTCTGCTCTGAGTTCAAAAAACTCAACGTTCAAGAACGTACCAGGTTCGTAGAACAAAATGGTTATTGTACCAATTGCTTGGCTTACAATCATATTTTAAATGATTGCTCCAGTGCATTCCGATGTTTTCATTGCAAAAAGAACCACCACACCATGTTGCATCCTACCTCAACTACCAAATCGATTCCCAAAACACCTAGTAGGAACAACAACTTCAAACCACCAAAAAATCAACCACCTCAAGGGTCAAAGTCTTCTAAAAATGCAACATCTTTGCTGCTAACTCAATCATCCGAACCTTCATCCAGTAAGTCAAGACATCCGATCTTTGACATTACCGAAGACAATACCCTACCTGAGGAATCTCCTACTTCTCTAGCAGATAAAACATCGAATATCCAAGCCAATTTTTCTACCAACAATGAAACAACATTGCTTCCTACAGCCCAAGTGCACATCGAGCACTTGGGTGAATTCTATACCCTCAGAGCCTTAATCGATCAAGGTTCTCAAAAAACCTTTATTTCTGAAAAGATTCAAAATCGATTAAAACTTCCAACTAATCGAGAAAACTTTTCTATAACTGGTATGGGCGGTAAGATAGTGGAAAACGCAACTCGCGTGTGCCACATTACTCTCGTGGCGAAACGAAATAACATTCGCATCAATACCAAAGCGATTATCCTCCACAAACTTACCAGTTTCCTACCGACCTTCCAAATGAAGAAACCAGATTTATCCGAACTCAGGGATCTGGACCTCGCCGATCCATATTTCTTCAAACCATCGCAGATCGACCTAGTAATAGGCAGCGATCTTATACCAGAAATCCTACTCCCGGGAGTCAAACATAAAATTCTTGGTAGTCTTCTTGCGCAAAATACCATATTCGGATGGTATCTGAGTGGGCCTTTAAAAATCACCGAATTTTCAACTTTTCATACTTACGTAATGGAAGATACTAGCGAAAACCTCAATTCTCAATTAAAGCGATTTTGGGAATTAGAGGAAGTCTCAGAAACACATCCACCCTCAGCCGCGGATGAGTTTTGTGAAAAGCTTTACCAAGATACCACTTATCGACAAAGCGATGGACGGTATGTAGTTCGGCTACCCTTTAAATCAGAGTTTCCATCCAAGCTTGCACTCGGTCCATCTCGGACCCAAGCGATGAAGCAAGCCATACGAATGGAGCATATGCTCAATAAAAAGCCTGATCTTAAGGAAGAGTATAGCCGTGTTTTAGAGGAATATTTATCACTTGACCATATGAAACCCAGTTCTCCCGATGAAATCCACGAAAATTCTAATTATCGCTCGTATTATCTACCCCACCATTCCGTCGTTAAACCAGACAGTAAATCCACCAAAGTTCGAGTGGTATTTAACGCGTCCAAACCATCTGCGTCTGGAGTTTCTCTTAACGACATTCTTCATATCGGTCCTACCTTGCAAACAGATCTGATGTTCGTAATCTTGAATTGGCGTTTGTACAAATACGTTTTTAACGGAGATATTCAAAAAATGTACCGCCAGATTCTGTTACACGAAGATGATCAACAATATCAACGAATTCTCTTTCGAAGAAAAAACGACATCAAACTCACTGATTTCGCATTGCAAACCGTCACTTTCGGAGTCAATTGCGCGCCGTATCTGGCTATCCGCACGCTCCACCAGTTGGCCAAGGATTCTAAAGATTCCCATCCTTTGGCCAAGAGAATTCTGACTGAAGAAACGTATGTCGATGATATACTCACAGGTGGACATGATATTCAAACTTGTCTTACGGCACAATCTCAGATAATCAAATGCTTGCTCTCAGCTGGGTTTCCTCTAAAGAAATTAACAGCTAATCATCCAGAACTTCTTAGACATATTTCAACTGAAGATTTGCTTGATTCGGAGTTTCTGAAAATTGATTCCTCCAGTTCTACCAAGACTCTTGGCATTAGATGGAACGCTTTAAATGACGCCTTCTCTTACTCCATCGAGCCTATTAAGCCAACTACAGGTGCCACAAAGCGCCAAATTCTGTCCTCGGTTTCCAAACTTTTTGACCCCGCAGGGTGGCTAGCGCCTATTATCATTCAGGCAAAAATCCTTTTGCAGCAAATATGGTTAGAAGGCACGGAGTGGGATGAATGCGTTAAACCACTTTCCCTCCAAAAGTGGAACCAGTTCGTTGCTGATCTACCTAATATCGAAAAAATTCAAATACCAAGATGGACTGAATTTTCACCAAACCAAATAGTTCAAATTCATGGCTTCTGTGATGCGTCAGAAAAAGCATTCTGTGCATCAATCTACATCCGAACTGAAACGAGCAATTCCACTTCATCTCATCTTCTCTTCTCAAAAACCAAAGTTGCACCGTTGAAAACAGTCAGTCTTCCGCGTCTGGAACTCTGTGGTGCAGTTCTGCTATCAAAATGCATTAAAAACGTTATAAATCAACTCCCTCTCGAGAACACTGACATTTTCTTATGAGCGTTCAACCTTCTCGCTACCATTCACCTACACCGGTCTTGATTTTGCAGGACCGTTCGAGGTCAAATCATCACCACTTAGAAAATCACCCACACTCAAAGGATACGTTTGTGTTTTTATTTGTTTCTCAACTAAAGCAATTCACTTAGAGCCGTGCTCCGAACTTTCCACCAAAGCCTTTCAAGCCACGTTCTCCCGGTTCGTTGGGAGACGCGGCCTCCCACAACGCGTATTCTCCGATAATGGAAAAAATTTCGTA